CCTCCAAAATAAAAGCACACAGGCATGCACATATCCACCCACACCTCCCCAAACCACAGATTAACCCAGAATCATCTGGATAAGTAGCAGGACCATCCCAGTTATTTAATTTATTCTGCCATCTCTTTTCAAGTGAGTCATGTTGAAGCCATCACCCTCTCACCTGAAACACTTGGGCTCCATCCACACTATGAAGCTTCTGGCACTATAGCTATGCCAATAGAGCTTATCATCAAAGCCCCCAGTAGAAATACAGAATATGCTGACCAGAGCTTTTCTGCTGGGATAGCTACACTATCTCCCTGAATGAGGAAAATTTAGCTAACAAAAGCTCTCTCTCACCACACTTGCATTAAAACTAAAGATTTTGCCAACAGTTGTGTGTGAAATAGCACCTATAGCCGACTTCTAGCCAGCAGCAAAACTTTTTAATGTAGATCTTGCCTAATATAGGATCTTATTAACAAAAGTACTTCCCAGTTGAAAGAGAAAATGGCCATATGCAGCTGCTTGACTATCAAATTTGGTGACATTACATGGAAGACAGGGAACAAATCACCATGAAAGAGGCTCCTGGAGAAACTGCTTCATTGAGCATTACCCACCTCATGGACCCTGACTTTAAATCCCTCCGAGTGCCTCTGCCATTTTCTTCCATGAACCCTTCTCCTTTACACTTCAAAAGGAACAGTCTGTTTCTGCTCTCCTTATACCTCCTGGAAATCAAGGACTTATTAACAAGCCAGTGTTGAAATGCAGATCTGCCCACTGATCTCTCTGAACACCACTAAAAGAAAGGCTAAAATATAGGCCCATTCCACATACAATGACATTTAGAATATCTATACTGTCTACTGAGAGTCAGATCCAAGATGAAGAAACTATCAATATTAGTTTCCTGGTATCACTTCTAGAATTATATAGGTAACAGCAAGATAAGAATAGTGATAATTGAGTGAAATCTCTGAAGCAGTTCTAGATTGAAGTAAAATTAGAACTTTACACAAGCAACCACCCACATGACACACTTACCAAGTCACAGAAGAGCCTGTATTATAATCCTCAATTAGAACCTCTGTGCCAGAAACAAGCCCAGTAAGTACATGAAGATAAATCAGCAACCATTACAAATTACTACCCTACCCAGAAACTGACTCCCAAATATAAAGTCACCAAGGCAAGAGTTTAATATTGACATAAAAGGCATAAATTAGTGGAATTTTCTTCCTTGAAACAAACACTGGTCATATAAAGCCACCGAGGAAACAGGCTGCTTTTGGCTTGGAAGACTATCTTACAATTACAGCAAAGTTCTCAAAACCTTGTTTATGTAACGTCACACAACTGGATGCATCTGAAAACTTTAAAGGTATGGGAGGTGGAACAACTCGATTAACAGACAAGATTTTAGTAACAGAGGATGTTAAACAAAAAGTAAGAAAGGTCAAATGCCATTTCCAATAAAACACAGCTAATTCTTCAGTATTTTCCTCAATTGCTCTTTCAGGCTTTTATGGGTTGTTTTTGTTGTTTTTTTTTGGGGGGGGGGGGG